GGGGAATAAAATAATATTAGTGTTGTTTTATAGAGCTGCTGAGCTCTGAATTAAAATTGATCTTTCCCTCCTTTTTTGAATCCCAACTTGTTCTGGGTGTAAGCACTCTGAAATATGTATCCATGATCCAAAAGAATTTTAATTAAAATATACAATTCATAGTATATACTACTAGGGTCATTGGACTGAGATGAGTGATTATAGAAATTGAATAAATAAATAATTGTATTGATATTGTGCATGATACATTTTAAAGCCATTTATTTCTTATAAGACACAGAGGTGAATGGATGGATGGATGGATAAAAAGCAAGGTTTTTTTAATGTTTTGTTAAAGTTTATTGTATGGCTGGAATTAAATTATTTTCTTGTTGGGCATAAAAAAAAGGAGTTGCCTACTGTTAGGTGGGATTGCAAAATCTGTCGTTGCATTGTAGTGCATACTGTTTCTCCATACCAGAGACAGCCAATTTCATGTTATTCCTCCAAGCCTTTTGCCAAAGAACTAGAATGATATATTGTCATTCTTTTTTTCCAATCACAATTGTATCCTTTTAGTCCTTATTCTGAATTTCCCCCATAATTAAAGGTTGCCTAATTAAATAAACTAAGTTAATTAATTAAATTAAATTAATTAAATAAAGTTGAAAAATAAACAGCTTCTTTCTAAATAAGCAAGATGTGGTTACATCTTTTCAATTTGCTATACTGAAATACAGATTTTATGTGTATAACCATATTTCTTTTCTACTTAATTTGTTTTGAATAATGTATTTAACTGAAAAGAAAACTGGGATTTCCCCCAGCAATGATTTTTTTTTAAATTTGATTTATATGCCGCCCTTCTCCGGAGACTCAGGGCGGCTTACAATGCGTTAAAACAGAAGATTCAGGTTTTTTGGTTTAATTTTCCTTAAACAAAACAAATTTCTCCTATTTGCCATTAAAAAAATGCCCATTTTTGTAGATTTATACTGTATAAATCATAAAGCTTTTGCATCTTTTTAGTTCCCTACTCTAGAATGTTCCTTAATATCTAAAGAGGAAACTGGTTCCACCTCACCATTCCATGTGTCCCCTGAAGTGTGAGTCCCATTGTTCCCTCAGATCTTTTTTGCCTGCCATTGTGCTCAAATTTCAGACAATTATTCCTTTGTCCAATTTGGAGAACTGTAAATGGGATTCAAAGTGATGTTCTTTGATGTCATCTTCCTCTGTAGATGCTTTAATGAAAAATCAGAATCTTAATCACATTAGCTCATGTACTGAACAGATGCCGAGGATTGCAATATCCCTGTTATTACGGAAACCGTAATTCCCAGCTTTCAGACTTCACTATCTGTCGGAGGCTTTCGTGTTTATAGCTATTCCATTGTTAACAGATTTCTCAGGAATAGCAAAATAAGCTATCCCAAATCCAGTAGGAAAGAAGTTTGTACAGACATCTAAAGGCAAATAGTAAACTTACCAGCACAGAAAATAGATATCATTCTCTTTTGACAGGCCGTAGGGCAGTAAGCTTAAATGTATTCAGTAGACTTTTTTTCTCTCATCTGCTACTACAATCTTTCTGATTTTAAAGACTTGTACATACAATTTCATACAGTAGAGGAAAGCAGGTCCCTTTTTTTGAACCTCTGTCAAGGGGCAAAGATTTTAATATCATGCAGTCACTCAATAAAAATAATAACTTATCACCTTGAAACATGGGCTTCAGGGAGTGGTCCTCTATCACCATTCATGGCTTGGGTCATCTCATTTCATTCAAGAGTAAAATACTATATTGATGAGCTTCCCTTTAGTGGGAATGGCCAATTTCAATTTTTTAAAAAAGCTATTCTGGACAAAATCCAAAAGGTGAAAAATAGAGCTTCTTGTATGAATAGCACAACTCATTAATAAAAAGGGAATATATCAACTGGAGGCTGCACATAGCCCAAAGCCAGGAGATATCTTACTCCTGAATTTCAGCAGATAACAAAAAGAAGCAGGTGAAAAATATTAAAAGAAATTTATACCTTTCTTTAGTCATAACACACCAGAAATAAAACCAAAACAAAACCAAAATCCAGGAACCCCCATTCCTCCAAATGCCACCCTTGTCTATTTTGGTGTCCTAATTGCTTCATTACCCAATTATTGTAGGCCTACATTTTTGGAAGAAATAAGGCTTACAGTCACCAAAGATTTTTTCCCCATCCTGCATTCAAATCACATAGCAACCAGTTTTCAAACTATTTCACAACGAAAATGTCAATTTTCTTTTGGGAACTCCTGATCTTTTTCCAGCTTTCGGTTTTTACAATCCTTCAGCATGTTGAAGAGATGGTTATTTGGTGATAGGCTGTTTTGCCTTCTGTGAAATAAAATGTCACAAAGAAACAATCACGGTTGGGATGAGGCATTGCCTGGAGTGCTAGTTTTCTTTTTCCTCCATTGTGCAGCTGATGGCCATTCTTTCTCTCTTTTCCTCATTCACTAAGCTCCAGGTATTAGCCACCGTGATTCTCACACAGTAGGAAAATGATATTGCATGAAAGGACCTTTAGATCTATGACATAAATTACTTTCTAATTTTGAAGAGCATTTGCTTCATTCCTACCATAGGCATTCTTTGCCTTCTTTATGGAAGGGTTGTTTTTTTATTACAATCTCAAAGATGTATTTCGATATTTCGATCGGGTCCAAGTATGTTTCATATTTTGCTTCGAGTTTCAACTTCTGTCTTTTTGGTGTTCATGGAACGTTTATCAAATTCTGCCTTTGAAACCACACATAAGATTATTCTAATAAAGTTGGTATAACAAAATTATCTAGCAAGACATTGTAAGTAAACACAGTTCTGGTAGATTACTTCCTTCAAGCATATCTTAATTAGTTGTAATAAAATGAAAATAAAAAGTTTTTATGAGTTCTGAATTCACATTAATAAACTATCCAAGAATGTTTAAAGAATTGCTGACCATATGGAAATTTCATTTATGAGTTGATATAGTCATATTGTTCTTGTATTGATCAAACAAACTGTAAAATCATAAAATGAGTATCATAACCTTTGTCTATATTTTATGAAATCTGAACTTGTGCAGTACATTTCTCTTCTTCCAACATGCACAGCTTTGTCTGGCATTTTTTCCTATTTGGGAGAAGAGATTTTATTTCATGTGAGATCAGTTACAAACTATTTAAAAGAATATAGCGATATAAATTCATGTTAATAATATGCTTCATATTGTTATTATTTCCTTGAGAAGGATTTTATCAGATCAGTAGTTGAAGTAGACTACAACCCTATGCCTACTTAGTTGAGGAAAAAACTGGTGGCAATAAACAAGATTTAATTCTGATTAAATATGGAAGAACTGTGAGTAGGAATAGCCTTGCTGACTATATGCACAAAGTGTAGAATTCACAAATTCAACACTCAATTGGGAAATTAAATATAGTAATTTCCATAAGACTAGTTTTCACATGAAAATAGTAGATAAGAGATGATGCTATGGTGGGAAAAGAGCCCACAATATGGCCAATTTTTCCATGTATTGTTGCATATTATATACACCGCCAAATGCATAACTTTTTACATTGTTGTTTTTAAGATACACTGTCACTCTAACTACATTAGAATGTAAGATTAATTATACTATATAATTGTAAATCTATAGAAAATTGTAGGTTTGGGGATTATTTTTAAGCTCTTCTCATAAATCATTAAAACATTTTGGGGTATGAAAACATAGCAAAGGCGTAGTGTTCAAATCTTTATTTTCATAAAGTCCACAGAGAGAACCATTTTAGTCTGTTTTAGTAAAAGCAGTGTTGTGTGATATCTTTGAGGTCAAAAAAAATCATTGTGGTTTAAGATTTTGTAAACAAGATGCAAGAAATATCCTGAGTTGTAACATGAGAATAGAAGAAAATTAACTGACCATAGGACGAATACTGTACACTATGAAAAGTAGCAAATTTGTAGAGTTCAAACAGCTACCTACTTCTGAAAGCAGCAATTGTGATAATTAATGTCTTGGGATAGTTATATCAGATCTGCCAGTACTTCATAGCATAAATATTATCGTATTACACTGGAATATTCACTCACCGCGATGCAGTATATATTTGGAGATATATGGCATATACAAAAGCCAATGCAAATATTGTTATAACAGAGCTGTAGCTGTAAACTGCATGTTTCAAATATATAGTACAGAAGTATATAGTACAAGTTTGTTCATGTTAAAGTTTGTTCTTTTGGCAATCATCTATACTTTACTAGCAAAGCAAGTACTAGCAATAAAAACAGCAAAATCTTTTTAATTTGAGCATGCAGTGGAAGAACTAAAGGCTTTTACGTTTCATAACGTTAGGGAATTTGTGAAATCCTGTTCTATGTGTTACTGCATGATAAGGTGGTGGTGGAGCAGTGCACACGCACAGTGTTAAGATTAAATGCATGAATCCCTTGCTTGATGCCCCACATAAAGCCAGATTATGGGGAAGTTGCATCCAATTTTTGTGTTGCCTCGTAATGCCTTGCTGTTTATTTATATAGCATATTTATATAAGACGAGAATGGATGTTTATACTGAAAGCTTTTTCTGTGCTAATGACATCAACACACTTTCAGTCATGCAGTTAACACCCCTAGGTGTCCATTCTGCTTTAAGAGCCGTTTTTGTATGGAGAAAAAAGTATATGTTGCGCATTGCAGTTATGGGCTGACACAAAAGACATCCTACATTGCAGTCCATTGGATATGTCAGCAGAGTTCTTCTCTATGATGTGTCCTTGATACAAAATGGTATGTAGGATTAAAATTTCATTTTCATTTAAAAATTTCTCTCAGAACTCTGCTTTGAAAGCTTTTAAATATAAAACTTTTTCAAGGTTACATCTGGGAAGTCTAAATGTGAGCCCATACTCTAATGTGATGATTATGACTTGTGGTTCCCATATGCCTCACTAGTCTATTTCTTATTTCCTATCTCTCCTTTAATTGGAAGAAATGTAAAAAAGAGAAGATATGATCCAAGTCAACAAGGCATCTAAGGAATTCCCTGGAAGAATGTGGCTGTGCTTGAATGTGGACTCTGGCTATGGAGGCTCTTTGAAGCAGCTGGCTCTTCCTGCAGCAGAAGCATACCAGTCATTGTCTACCAGTGGCAAGTGGAGGCATTTATGAAAGGGCTGAAGGAAAACTGTCCTTTACTGGAGATTTAAATTCAAGGACTTCCTCCACTCATTTCTCTCTTTTTGGGGGGATGTTAGGGATAAAACAAACTTTGGGAAGGAACTATTTTTTGTTCTGAACAAAAATGGAGCAAACAAACCAAGCGCAATAAGTAAACTCTTTCAAACTATTTAAATAGGTAAAGAATTTCTTAGTAATTTGAGTTCGCATGATCTTTTAATATTAATGGCAGACTCCAGTGGCATGATAATTTCTGAAATGGTGAACTGCATGGCATAAACACAGCAAACAAGCTAGCAAGAAGGTCCCAAATAAAATCTATTTACCAACAACATGATAGAACAAAACACAGAAGAGCTGATTCTAGGTTTTACCTATGAAACAGAGGATAATTCCTTAATTCTACCTATTATAGGTATTCTTTATTTTGTTTATTTATTGCTTTGGGGCAAGCCTCTTTGAGGAATGGCAAATCATACTACATTGAAATATATTTTTAAAAAATGCTTTGGGGGAAGTCTTATCAAGCTCCATTATTACACATTTTGAAATGTTTCGTTCCATACGTGATCTTAAGCTGTACACATTCATAAAATGTTGCTCCTATTTAATTTTGGGGTAGCACTTTATATTTTAGAGTGGGCATAGTGCAGGGAAATTCCACAAATAAGAGGTATGCTTTTTAAATATGTATGCTTAAAACCAAAAAAAAAAAAAAAAGGTCCGTCCAAAACCAATATGTGTAAATGCATATGTATACAATGATTTTTTCCTCTTCAAATGCATTATTTGCATCCATGCAGATATTTTGTATATATTGTAAGAAACTGACACCCTCTCAAATTAATCACAGAAGTGCCAAGCTTATGTCTTTTTCATTTTGCCATGTTGTTTTCCTTTCTCAGTCTCATATTGTATGACAGGAAAGATGCCTAAATAAGCCTTAAGTACTTGTAAAATACTGAGAGCTTTTAACAGGTTAAGGCATTCGGTGTATTGTTTTATAAAGCCCAGTCTCCCCTCACCCTCAGGACTCCTTTCATTTTTTAAAAGTGCATAAACAGCATCCAGATATCCATGTCTTTTTGAATTTATTTCTGTAGTAATTATTTTTCAAAGCATAGCTTTGAACCTTCCTATTAGACTACATGTGGTTACTGTCATGGAGGTCTGAATTAGAAAAAACAATGAGAATATTGCCATGTGCATAACCAGATAACATTGAATCCTGCTTAAACAGAGAAGTGGCATTCATGAAACAATAATATAGCCTCTTCCCTTCTCCCAAGCATCCAAGCTCTGCCATAATCACGGCTTTTCATCACTTCTCTAATTAGTAAATGGGAAAAGCCGTAATGGTAACCCCCAAAGTGTAGTGGAAATAAAGCTTGCTTGTATAGATGCACCTCTGCTGGCCAACCGCAAGTTAATATTATGCCAATATACAAGGCAACATCCCACTTTGGTTTTGTTAGCACTGTTGGTGCAGCTGCTGCTGCAGTTGTGCTTAGGGGTTTTCTACGCCTGTGTGCTGGGACACAGTACCGGTGCTAATTAAGCAATCATGGTCATTAAAGCAGCCATAAGATAACAAACATATTGTTATCCTTTATTACAGTTGCTATGACATCAGAGCAGTGTAAACTCAACCTGCAATCATATCCAAAACTCCAAATGCTTGATCATTCATTGCAATGGAAGACTGCTTTGGAATAAGCTTTAAGCGCATAATGAAAAAGCTACTTACTTAAAAGCTTTTCCCCCAGTCACAGGTATTTGGGCATGAGCTATTTATAATTTGGTTAATCATATAGAAATTATTTCAATCTGTATATAAATGTTTTATTCTTTTGAGATATTTTACCCATTGTGTATTAGCATTAAAAAAAGAAAGCAAAGCAAAATCTGATACTTTTCAAGTTACGTTTGAATTTATTTTTAGATTTCCTTGGGTCACTTAATACTATACCAATGTTTTGGGATGCCTTTCATCAAGCTTTATTGACAATTGTGTGAAATCATAGTGGTTTGGCATGACAATCATTTTTGAGTTAACTTGGGTGGGCAATTTGTGGTCCTTGGACCAACTGTAGCACCTGAATTTTTATTTATTTGCTTTATTTGCTTACTTATTTAGACCCAGAACTATTGAGATGCTATTGAAATTCAGTGGAAATAAGAAAAATGGTTCCTCATTTTTTAAATGGGAAATGTAAGAAATAAGGAGCATGAACTGTTTACCATACCTAAATAAGAAAATTACCTTTCCTGAAACTCCAGCTCCCATTATTAATGTGACTTATTGTGCTTATAGTGCATCATTGGTCACAAAAATGTTAGGCACTTCCATTTAGCAGGTTGCTGTCTTTACATAATCCTTGCAATGTATTGAAGTTACTGTTCTATAGTGAGTGAAAAAAGCAGGGGAAAGTCTGGAATGCAATTATACTGATATTTAAGGTTAATACTCTCCAAAGTCAGCAATGAATTTTACCTTTTCTTCCTGACCTGAAAAACAAATTGGAATAAATTCTATATGTGACGTGCTCAAATCCTCTCTCTTCCAATAAAATGGCCCTTTAGAATATTTTATGTAATGCCACTTTTTGTTTAAGTATATTGGAGATTAAAATAAATAGGTGCTAAGGTTGGGTTTTGTTTTGGGAGAAGTGGTAACCACAGTAGATAGTGCCATTCAATATGGCTACAAAGGTCAATCTGTTATATTAAGTAAAATCTTTATGTAATTCACAAAACATTGTAATGTGCGATGTGATTTTTTTAAAAAATCAGACCACACTGGTCCCCAATTATGTACATATGATAAAGAGTTGGGGTAACTTTTTGTTACACTAACAATTTCATAAGAAATATAATTTCTTTTCTAAATTTCTCCTCTGCTGTTTGGTTCTGTATAGATACATTTAAATACACAGATTACGTATAGACTATATATGACCACACAACCACAAAGCTCACAGAAATGAATTGTCACGTTTTCAGTGGTCCTAGCCTTACATCATCAAACCTGCTAAGGTCTATACTTATTTTATAAGCATTCATTTACAATATTTTGTAAAGAACACATGCAACTTAGGTTTTTTTTTAACACGATATCATTGTAATGGTGTTCAACACAATAAAAAAACCATTTCAGTCGTTATATTTTTGTTTCATTGATAGGATTCAACTCGACAGGAAATGTATGGAAATTTTATATTGCTTATATATGCTGCATGATCCCACTGAATTCAACCAATTCTCAGAGAGGAAAGCGCCACTACGCAAATTAACAAGAATATATTCTAGGTGCATGTTAAAATAAATTACATAGGACTGGAGTTGTACAAGATTTTCTTTACTATGCAATGATAGGTATTGCACAAATTTAAAATTCAAAGACAAATGTCTGAGGAACTTTACAAAATACTTGAATTATTTTTGATCTAAAAAGCTATCAGTCATTTTCTATTCATTGTTGCTTTCATTATTAATATTCATCTAAAATAGTGATTATTTTTAAGGTGCACAATTTAACAAATTTATTTTGTCTGAAGCTAATATTCATATCTTGTTGGCTGCAGATGAATGGGAATTCAGTTATTGTTTTGCATCTTAGTAAATTAGTATTAAAGACGTCATAAACATAGAAATTGGCTTCTGTATTTTTCTTTCCTGTGCTGTTAATAAATTAAATTTCACATCAGACCTAATTTTCAAGAAAATGAAGGCTGTTTGGTATTTTTTTATAGAACATTGGGAAAACAGTTTCCAAGTTCACTTCTGTTGCAGATGCTAATCTCCTCTGTTAGCAAATGTGTAATGTTGGATGTCTTTATGACTGGGGGGGAAAAACACATTATGAATGTGCAGTTCAGCATATAGTACATGGACCATTATACATCAAATGAATGTCCTGTGGATTAATAATAACCTTTTGGGAGGATCTGAGGACTCATAATGATTCAGCCCTTCCAGAAACTCTAATCCTACAATGGGATTACCTGGAAGTAGCCCCATTGAAAGCAATACTTCTTTAAACTTGAAATATATAGATTGAAGTATGTTTTTAGAAATCAGAAATGCCTATCTGGGATGATTTATTTGACTGCCTGACAGCATCCAGAGTTTTGTGTGTAAAGTTGGGTATACATAGTGCCATACTATGCTCTTCTTGACCTCTCAGAAGCCTTCAATACAATCAACTATGATATCCTTTTGGGCCATCTGTGGAGCTTGAGGCTGGGAGTGCAGTGCAGTTTTGCACTGGTTTGGCTTCTTTCTCCAAGGCTGCTCTAAATCGATGTTGATAGGGAGTGAGAGGTTCAGCCCGCGGCAACTCCTTTGTGGTGTACACAGGGCTTAGTATTCTCTCCACTCCTTTGTAACATCTACATGAAGCTACTAGGTGGATCATTCATCATGGGTTGAGGTATCATTCGTATGTTGATGATACTCAACATCTCCACCCCTGGTGTTCCAAGTGATGCTGTGACTGCCCTTCCGCAGTGCTTGGAGGCAGTGGGGGCCTGGATGGAGGACAACAGGCTTTCAGCTGAACTCTAGAAAGATCCCATCAGTCAAGGAATTTTGACTAGCAGAGGAGGAGAAATGCATTCTCTAGCTCCTGCCCTTTGGAATATCTTATCCCATGATGTGAGAGTGACTTTCCATAGTAGCCTTAAGACCTGGTTCTGCCAGAGCTAATCCCACTCCCTCCCCCAGGCATCCAGCTCCCTCCTCCTCCATCTTGTGTCACTTATATCTTTTGCGTGTATTGTCATTTTGTAGCTAATAGTTTTAATGTTTTTTATAACTCTATATGCAGTCCAGAGTTGCTTTGAGATGAGATGGGCAGCAAATAAATTTAATAAATTAATAATAAATTAATAAATACCCTAGCTAATTCATAGTGCTAATGTATTGATCTGATGACTGAAGTGAAAAGCATTTTAATCATGTTGGAATCAGTTATATGGTTACATCGTAGCAAAACCACATTAGAGACTTGTCTTCAGTAGCTGTCATCATACTCTCACACTCAGCACTTTTACAAAAGTGCACAACTGTGCATTTGACTGCCTGATTTAATGCTTTATTATGCAATATTTAAGAAAATAATCAGCTTTCTAAAAAAGCACAGCCTTACTGCCAAAAGAATACTCATTTCTTTTCCCCCCTCATCATGAGGATAGAAAGCTTAAAGATGCCTTTGCAGCATCTTTAATACATTCCTTAATACATTTTACTTCTCCTTTGGGATTTTAGGTTTCTGCCTAGAGATGCTCAGAATGGGCTTGGTTATGCTCTGCTAAATATGAACATCAGTGAATGAACTGAAGCAACTGAGGGAATGAGAAGCTCCACATTTTCCTTTTTCTACCAGAGAGATATGGGCCAAGAAATGAAAAAAAAAAAAACCTGTCCATGTAATATAATAAGTTGTGAGGAAGAACATTCAGCATAGATACAGAACAGGTAAACCAGGCCCTTGAGAAATTGAAATATTCCTGAATTTAATGGTAGTTCTTTAAAATGGAAGTGCTTCTCAGAAGCCAAAGAATCACCTTGAAAGTCAGTGATAAGTAGATGAACAATGAACATAATGAACCTGATGCACTTTGGTGTGAGGCTCTGTAATAAGATGATGAATGTTAGAATATATGCATATTAATTAGATGCTAAAGATACCACAACAGCTAAAACTTTAAGGAACGGAGCTGTCTTAATTGTTTCAGAACATAGCAGAATGCTATGGAAATGAGGGAATTGGATCTTGTCATTTGTGCAAATATCCTGATATACACATGCTTATGCTCCAATACAGTTGGCTACCAGTAAAATAGTTCTGGTTGTTTGACTTCTAATGAATCCACTGAAACACAGTGAATCATAACTTTCATGGAGATGTACTAGGAAATTTTCTTCTTTATTACTTGAAATGGAGAATAATGGAGAAAAGCAGCACCCAATGACCTAATTGTCATTAGCAGCTCTATCATTAGCAGAAGCTCTGCCCAATCATTCTGCTGATAGGTAACGTAACACTGGAGATACTCCTCAACCATTGCATTAGTTCTCTCCGCAACTCCGTTGGTATTTGGATGGAAGGCAGAGCTGAGATCTTGCGAGGAACTGATCACCCGAACAAACTCCCCTTAAAATTTGGCTGTAAATTGGACTCCCCAGTCCGTTATTATCCTTCTTGGTACCCCGTGTAGCCGGTAGACATGGATCAGGAACAATTTGGCCAGCTTGTGAGCCTAGACGGGCGATGAAGTAGGCCTGCTTAGAAAAAAGGTCTATTACTGTCCAGATCACCATGCTCCCATTTCTCTCTGGGAGGTCCATTATAAAATCCATAGCGATCTCCTCCCATGGCCAGACAGGGTCGCCAACCGGCTGCAGCAGACCCAGCGGTTTCCCTGGCCTGGTTTTCATAGCAGCATAGTTTGGGCAGCTTTGTACATAAGCCTCAATGTCCTCCTTCATCTGTGGCCACCAGAACTGCCTATTGGCCAGATGTAGCATCTTCAGGAAACTGAAGTGACTAGCTTGTTTGACATTGTGGCAGCGTTGCAGCACCTGTGTTCTTAGTACACTGGGAAAATAGAGTTTAGTGCCCTTCCATGCCAATCTCCCCCATGTGTTAATCATTGTCTGTTCCCTAGGACCAAGGGTCAGTCAATAAGGCTGGGCTTGGGTCAGGTCAGTCGTGACAGAGCTCAATGCCCCCTTGGCTTGTTGCTGCTCCACCTCAATGTTCACCACTGGCTGGACCGGTGGGATGATTGCATGCACTACTTCCTCCCAGACACTCTTGTACTGCGGTAGCAGGGACAGGGCGTCCACTAAGAAATTCTTCCCTCCTGGTATATATTTGAAGGTGAACTGAAAATGCTGGAAATATTGCACCCACCTCACCTATTTCGGTGACAATTCCCTTGTGGTCTGTACAGCCACCAGATTTTTGTGGGGAGTCCATATTTTGAATGGTATTTTACTCCCCTCCAGGAAATGTCGCCACATCAGCAGTGCCCAGTGCACTCTGAAGGCCTCCTTCTCCCAAATCACCCACCGTCGTTCTGCTTCAGTGTGTTTCTGGGAGGTGTAGGCACAACGCTGCAGCTCACCTTTATCTTTGCACTGCAATAGGACAGCCCCGACAACTACATTGCTGGTATCTGCTTGGATAACAAAAGGTTGTTTGGGATCGGAGTGCTTGAGGATTGGCTCCTGGGCAAACAGGCCTTTCAGCCAAAGGGCTGGTTGGGCCGAGGCTTGGTCATGACAGGTTTGGTTTTCAGCAGGTTGGTGATCAGCAAAACTACTTGGGCAAATGTGGGTATAATCTGCCTATAGAAGTTTGCAAACCCCAGGAAGCTCTGCAACTGCTTACTCGTCCTGGGAGCCTGCCACTCCAGGACTGCTTTCACTTTGGCTGGATCCATCTCCAGTTCCCCACTGGATATCGGTAACCCAAATAGTCCAAACAGGTGCGATGAAACTCATACTTCGACAGTTTTACATACAGATGTGCCACAAGTAATTTTTTCACCACCTGCTGGACCAGTTGAATGTGCTCCTCCATGGTCTCTGTATAAACTAAAATATCATTCAGCTAGACCAATACCCCCTTGTATAGGTGCTCATGCAGCATCTCACTGATAAATTGCATGAATACCGCAGGGGCCCCCTGCAACCCCCTGCACTTTAAACTGGTAGCTCCCCATTACCTTTCATCATTACCTTTCCAGAAATTCTTAATTAGTCCAGCAGCAATAAGGAAGTACATGTTCACTATGCAAATGATAGACTTCAAAGGTCCTGAATTTCATTAAAATTAAGTATAAAGTCTCTTTTAAGATTACTGCAAATGGCCAGAATGAGATGTGTCTGAAGGCCATGAACATAATTGCCAGTGCCTTCATCATTATGCTATTTCCAGGAAGTTTTGAAAGATGAGGTCAGGCCTCATTTATACACAAAAGTTCTACAATTAGACTAGTTCTATTTTCACCAGCTCAAAATTGACTCAGCCTTCCATCCTTCCAAAGTCAGTAAAATGAGGAGCCAGATTGTTGGGGACAATATGCTGACTCTGTAAACTGCTTAGAGAGGGCTGTAAAGCACTATGAAGCAGTATATAAGTCTAAGTGCTATTGCTGTTATGTTTTTGATCAAGACAGGTCATTGCATATGTACCATGACTAATCAGAGAATTCTGAAGGGAGGCAAGGGTGTATCATTTTCTATATTACATTCTTTAATGTAATATAGAGTTGGAAAGGAAAGTTGCTTTCCTTTAAAGGAAAGCAACTTTATCTCAATTTGATAACATTCCAGTTGCCTCAATAATCTGCACTCTAATTGAAAGACAAATTCAATTTGTCTAAAAAAAACCCTTGAATGCCCTTTTCATTTTGCATTACAAAAATAATGTTTTCCGGATGCACTAAGCCAGGGGTCTGCAACCTTAAACACTCAAAGAGCCACAAAGGTCCTAACTGGAAGCCCCCCATTCAATTCTGGAGCCAACCTGAAGTCCAGTTCTCCAACCATAGAGTCTCCTCCTAGCGTAGCATTCTTTTTCCTCTGCTGACTGGAAGTCCGGTTCCCCTACCATAGAGTCTCCTCCTAGTGCGGTGTCCTTTTTCCTCTACCTGTCCTATCTGAAAGCCCTATCAATTGTGGAGCTGACCAGTGACAGGGA